GGGGGGAGGGGTTTGTGCGGGGAGAAGGGTGCAACAATGAATGAATGGAATCCCAAAATCTCTGTAGATGTTCATTGAAATGAAATATAACATAAACAACCTAAATTAAAAAAAAAGAATAAAGATGAAATTTTTTAAAAAAGAGTCTTTCTTTGACTTTCTCTATTTTGATCATAATGCCCTTTTCCAAAGAATACCCATTTCTAGCAACATGCCCAAAGTATGTGAGATGAAGCTTTGCCATTCTTGCCTGTAAGGAGCACTCTGGCTGCACCTTCTCCAAGACAAATCTTTCTTTTGGTAGACCATGGGATACTCAGTACTCCTACAGCACAACTCAGAGGCACTGATTTTTCTTTTGTTGTCCTTATTGATTGTCTATCTCTCAGACATATACCATGTGAATGAAAAAGACCATGGCTTTACTTAGGGGCACCTTAGTTTTTAAACTGGTATCACTGCTTCTCAGTACTTTGGAAAGGTCTCTGATTTTCCCAGTGCAATACATCTCTTGATTTTTTGATTGCTGGTACTAAGGGTTTTGATTGTGAATCCAAGTAAGATGAAGTCATTGATAATTTCAATATTTTCTCTGTCTATCATGATGTTGTCTATCAGTTCAATGGTAAGGATTTTTGTTTTCTTGATGTTAAGATATAACTCATATTGAAGGCTGTAGTCTTTGATCTTCCGCAGTAAGCCTTTCAATTTGTTGTAGAGGATGTTATTTTCAGGAGTCTGAGAAGTCCTACCCATTCAGACTGTCGACAGTGGGTAGGGGGAGATGAAGTCTTGTCTTCCTCATGGTGCAGGTTAGAAGATGGCAGGTTTTTTATGGGACCTGAGCCCAGTCTCCTGGCAGCTTTTTTTTTAAATTAGTAGATATATTGATAAAGTGGCATTTAATGCAGGTTCCCAAATGACCACACACTGCAGGTTTAGGGAGAGGGTGAAAGTAGGGAGATGGGAAGGGTCTCAGGTCTTTAATGGCCAGTGCCAACATCTTAAAGGGCTTAAGAAACAGGAAGATAGTCAGTATGGCTTTTCTGTTTCTGCTCAGTTTTCTGTTCGTATTCCTTTTTAATGTTTTAAAAAAATTTTTTAACAAAATTCATATACATTGCATTTCACACTTTCCTTCATTGACATTGTGCTTCATATGATCATTCCCATTCATTATACTGTATAAAATTAATCACCATTGAACTATTTGAGTCCCCCCTGGCCCCCATTACCCGGTCTTTTCAGGTCCTCGCCAGATCCTTCCCATTTCCTTTACTCCCTCTCTCCACCCACCAAATTGTGTGTCCCTGTGATTTTGCCTCTACCCATCCTCACCCCTCTGCTCTCACCCCTTACCCCCTTGGGTCCCCATACATGTTTTACTAGTTATCTTTTTATTTTTACATTATGCAGTATTTGTCCTTATGAGACTCTCCAGCTT